CAAATACAGTTTGTCTTTGCATTTCTGTATTCCAAGTTTGGAGTTTTCCTTGCCAAGGTGAATGGGACTGGCACAAAGAGAATAATGAATGTAATTTTTTTTCCCCCTGTTACTGTTCGCTACACTGCTTTTTCTTCCTCTTTGTGTGAGTTTATTTAAAAGAGAATCTCTTTTGTAATGACTGTTTGCAGTTTAAATCAATAAACCCCAAGTTTTTTCAAGAAACTGACAGTGGAGCTGGTTTTACTTGCAAAAATTGAGGGGCTGGTTTAGACAGCTCCCCAAATGCAGGTGCTTCCCTTCTCTTGACCCTTGAAGTGCCCGCAGTGTGCCCAGGCGTCCCTCCATCATTCCTCACTGATGCAGCGGGTCAGCCATGCAAGTGCTTGGGAGCAGATCAGTGGCAGCAAATACCTGGTGTGACCTCCCCTGGTGGCTCTAACCTTCTCTGTCTCTTATGGAGTGCTTGAGTCACTCAGTCTGTTCCTGACAAGTTCTTTCTGATGAGCATGGCTTAAACCTGGGATTGGCTTTTGTTGCTTGCGTGTTTTGTGTGTTCCTGCATAGCTCCTTCCTCTTCAAGGAGGGCTTATGTGTGTTTTGAGTGAGGCTAAAGTGGGATGTCAAAGTGTTAGAGATACTCCCAAATCTCAGTCCTGGCTTCCTGGTGGTCTGCTTGCACAGAGGGGCTCTTTGGTGCTTTGTGGGGGAGAGGAACATGAACCCCCAGTGAAGGCTCAAGTGTATGCACACATCACCCTGCTATCCCATTTAAACCTTTGTATATTTTGAAGTATCAGCAATCCCAGAAACTTCTCAGGTCATTGGTTTTGTTAGGAACACATCCTTGCCAGCGCTGCTCATGGTGTTCAGTCTCTGTTTTCACTTTTGAGCTCTTCTATGGAGCAAGCTTTTGCTTCCAAACTGAGGCTGAAATGTTGCTGCTGAACCACCAAATCCTTCAGCTGTCTTAACATGCCTCAATGTTCAGATTTCCTAATTCATGTTGGAAAAGTTCTTGCCAAACAAAAGCTGTAGGATATCTCAAGGCTTACACCGGTGAACCAGCCTTCTCTGCTGTTAGCTCTATGCACTTGTGTGGTCTGGCACTAGAGGTGAGCTGGGTGGAGGAAAGACGGAGGAAGAAGAGTGTTGCTGATGGAAGCTGCTTCCCTTGAACACTGCAAAAGCTGTGTGAGGAGTTTCTTTGGCAGATACTGATGTAAATTAGTGCATGGTGTGGTCTGTATGCTGATCCCTGAGAGAAGAGCCTCAGGCACAGCTTCAGCACTGCTGGCCTTCAGCAGTACCTTTGACTGCAGCCTTGCCCCTGGGCATAAAGGCAATGAGCGCCATGTGAGGGATGGGTTCTGCCTGGGAAACATGTGCCCAGTTGAATCAAGTGCCCAGGTGTGCCTCCTCAGCTGCTGGGAATCAAGCTGTCGGCCCCTGAATAGTGAGAGTATCTGATCTGGAGAGGATCCCAAGTCTATTGCAGGGCACAAACATGGAGCTTCAAACTGCTTGCTTCCTTTCTGGACTTTCAGTGCAGCTCTTCAAACAAATAGTCTTTGACCAGTTAATAATTGATGAAGAAAATAGCTGTATCAGTTGCACAATGCTATTGGTATGACAAACAACCAGGAAGCTGTGCTAAAAGTAGGTCTTTGCCCATGATATTTGGGTACTTCCCTTGCCCTCCAAGTGCACTGATTCCGGGAAGCCAGCACTGTTTTTCTTCTGTGAGTTTATTAATTATATATGCTTGGTCACTCTGTGTTTTGCTTTTTGAAACTAACCTTGAGCTGCTTCACGCAGGGGATAGAGAAGAGCAGAACAGGATGCAAGAGCCTTCAGCAGTGAAAAGATTTACCTGATCTGATACCGTTAGGATTCATTGCAGCTTTGGTATGTGGCAGCACACACTCTAGAGAGTGTCTCTCCTTCCCTGTATTTACCACGGATGAGTTGTTCATGCTCTTTCTCAAAGGGTTAGCAAGTTCACCTAGTTGTTGTTTAGGTGAACCGACTGGTAATGGCTGGTAATAGCCTAGGCAAGGCTCAGAAAAGTATAAATAGCCTGTTCTGACGTGGTAGTTTTGAGACACACACTCCTCTGACTTGAGGACTCCTTCACTCTGGCTTATTGATTTAGTGCATGGGACTTTCAGAGTGGCCATAAAGCAGGGCTGGGCCTGTGCATCAGAGCACTTGCTCCTGGTGTGCCTGCTGTGCCAGGGCAGAGAGAAGCACCCACAAGAACAAGATGCCTGTAAGGTACCACGGCAAAGTGTGCCTCTGTACACTGCACAGGTTGTGCTTACAGTTCTTACTGTGGGGCAGGGGACATTGCTCGTGCTTCTTTTTGTGTACATTTTGTTGTAGTCATGTCGCTTGCTGTGGGCTCCTCCTAAGAAGGGACTTGGTCCATGCCGCTGGGCTACCAGCATTGCTGTTTTTTGGCTTTGAATTTAGGTGTGTCTAGTGCTATCCACCCTCAATACATCTTGGAAATTAGAGCTATTGTGTATGGCTGGCTGTGCCAGTTGCCTCTTGGTATGGAATAATGTGATGACTTTGATCTGCAGAGCTCCAGGTGGCTCAGATCCCACCCTGGTACCTGCCTCCCCCCTTCCTAATTCCTGCAACAGCGGTATGTTGACTACTCACTGCTTTGCTGTGGACTAGCTGTGGCTCTTGTGCCAAAACACCTTCAGTTCTGCAATTAGGGCCTGTAGAAGCAGAGGCCATCTAATTTCCTGAATATCATAGGAGAGAGATGAAAAGTCAAATAGGGGTTCTTTGTTATTGCTGATGATTTTGTTTTTAAAGGCAGTTGGGAACTTAAATGTCTGATTTTGGCCAACTTTTGTTTAGTATCACATGTACATGGATATGGTGTGCCAGATTGCAGGAGATGAAAAATATCATTTAAAAGGAGCCCTGAACTTTTCCAAGTTCCTGGTCCTGACAGAGTTTGTCTCATCAGTATAGTCATGAAATTGGGAGACAGAGAGGGAAAAAATTTGGAGAAGAAATACGCTTGGAGGACTGTTACCAGCTGGCTCAAATTTTCAGTCCATATGGCTCCCATGCACTAAGTGCAGTGGTCTGTGGATGGGACTTTGGGCTGCTGCTGCAAATGACCTCGGGAAGAATGGGCTCTGCCAGGCCTTTGCACAGCAGAGGGGACATGGCAGTGGGGCAGGAAAGGGTGGGGTCACCACTGGAGATCAAGAGCCAGAGACTGAGCCCACACAGCGTGGGGACAGCATGGGAGAGAAAGAAGCCGTGCTGTCTAGAGTCTGAAGACTACTCATGTTCAAGTGCATGGAGGCCAATAATCTGGATCTGTCCACTGGGGCTCAAGAGCATCAAATTGAGGGGAAGGTCTGGATAATGTAGCCTGCTGGACACTATCTGATGACCATGCCCAAGGATATGAATGACTACTAAGATGCAGTCATACAGGCAAAAACCACAGCATGCCCTTTACACGTGCTAATTGCTGCAATTTGTGTGGTCTGTGCTGGGGAAAGCTAGCATGTGCTTGAGTCTGGAGAAGGAGGCTTTGGGAGAAGGTGCTGTGGTCAGTGTGTGAACAAAGAGGCTCCTGACTTCAGTGCTGGGGGTGTTGTGGGGGCTGGAGGCTGAAGACATGCCCAGGGGCAGCAGTGACACAAAAACACTGCCTGGGAGGGAGAGAGAGACTTGTGCCTCAGGGAGGCTCCTCACGCCCTGCATTACAACAGGCAGACATGAAGGTGTGAGGTCTGGTGCCTCGCAGTGGGGCTGATGAGGCAGTTCTGCTGCAGAGAGCTGGTGTGCTGAGTGACCACATGCTCCAGCAGCAAGCAAAAGTGTGCTCAGTGAAGTGAAAATGGGCAAAAAATGTAAGTGAAGGACCGTGCCTTTCTTACCCGGGCCCCACAGAAGAGGGGTCAGGAGGAGCTCATAGCAGAAGCAGTTTGAGGGGTACGAACCAGCCACAAACAGGAAGAAAGCAGCAAATCCAGTGTTAGGAAGGAGTTAGGTGGGAGGAAAGGGTGAAGGAGTTGTAGAGGGTCTCTTGGGCTGGGAACACTGGGACAGATAGTGAGACTGGCTTGGTAGGGACACTTCGAGAGTCTGCTGGGAACCCACAGAACAGCTCTTCCCCTCGAGGCTGAGTCCAGTCCAAAATGCTAGAAGATGATTCTGTCTGGTGATGTAAAATGTCCTTTGTTTAGAGACTCTTTGGCCCATTCAGCAACGCCTTTTCCTCACAAAGCCGATGCTTATTCCCTAGAATACTTACAGAAAAAAAAAAAAAAAAGTTCCTCTTAAAACACCCTAAACCAATACCTGCTGTGACTAAGCCCTGTGGGCAGCTCCGCAGCTGATTTATATCCTCCTGCTGCTCGCCGAAGGGGCTGGAGTGGAAGCGCGGGCGCTGCGGAGCGGCTGCGGGGCGGCTGCTGCCAGCCCTGACGCCGCTTCGGGTTTCCTCGCCGGCAGAACAGAGCTCCTTTTGGCCAGTGCAGCTTTATGGGCTCGCCTGGGTTTATTATACTGCAAATGTTTTGAATTCCACATGTTAATTTCCAGAGAGGCTTTGTTTCACTTTTGCTGCTTCCCCCTGCCCCGCCCGCCCCGGTTTTCATTTCTTTTTTTTTTTATTACCACTGCCCTAACCTCTTCTTTTTGACTGGGTTTTGGTAATAGCTGCCGTTTTCTGAGCAAACAGAGGACTGCAATTCTCCCTGCCTGGGCTCCAGCTGCAAATTAATCTCTTTTCATAGTTTCGTTTTATGTCCGCCCACTATCCCCACCACACTAACTCAGTCAACACATGGAAGTGAAATTTTTCCATCCAGGATCCTGCGGGTTGTAAGGCTGTTGTGGAGCACGTGACTGCCAGCTCCAGAGTTTTCTTGCACCTCTGGGTGGAAGGAAGTTTTCTCATCCCCCACATATGCGAGCGGTTGCCGGTGGGATGTGAAAGGTTTTAACAACTGGAGTTGGTGGAAACGTTTCGGGGTTCCGCAGCATTCCTGTGTGCGTTTAAAGTCCCAGCGCAGCAGCCGGGTGCAGGCACAGCCGCAGGTGTGGCACGTTTGCAGCGCCTCGGTGCTACCAGACCCTGCTCAGCAAAACGAGCCGGACAGGGGCTCTCCGTGAGCCCTGCTCTCCCCGCAGGGCTTGTCTCCCTGCCAGCGAGGACAGAAAGCGCAAGCAATGACGGTGTCCACAAAGACGGATGGAGTCTGCTTGGCCTATGCAGATGTATTTTGTAATTTCTACATGATGCCTTTCACATGTGGGCCTGGGAGGACTTTACAGGTATTTTGGGCGCTTGGCAAATATATCTGTACCTATTCCACAGGTTTTAAAACCCTGTTAGAGATACAACTGCCAGGTAAAGGGGATTGTTTGGTGGTGGCGCAGTATCGCAGAAAGAACTGCAAAAATAATTCAGGACTCCTGATACTTTTTCTCCTGTCATAGTCTCCAGGCAACAGCAAATATTTCTCCTGAATACTCTGGATGAGCAGATGCCAACGTTGATTCACAGGAAAAGGATGTAGCCACGCAAGCCATAGAAATGTTGTTTGGGATGGTAGCCACGGCCCCTAAGGAGACATTAAGCAATATGGAACAAACGCCAATGAAGCTCTTAAAGCTCTTGCTGTGTTTGCTGTAAAGAGATTTCTTGAGAAGTCTTAGGTGGGAACCTTTGTGATTTACCTTGATTACAGCTATGTGGATGGAATATACTGTGTTTCACAGCTCTGGAGATGCTGCTAGGGCTTTTGAGCACTAGCAAAGTTCTGGTTTGCTGAGAAGTTACAGTCACAAGATATGGGGAGAGCTTTTGTTAAAATAGCTTTTGTTAAAGGCCCACAGCAGAGCATAAAAGGTGCACTTCTGCTTGGAAAAAGAATGGCAGTGAAAATAAACAGAGTGCAAAGAGGCACCCTGTTTATTATCCCTGAGTCTCAGATATTCTGTGCCGTGTTTACAAATAACCCCATTTGCCCCTATTACTACACTTACAAACTTATAATGAGATTGAAAAGCTGAGAACAAACCTAATTCACCCCCTCCTCAGGGTGTCCAGCCAAAAGAGCTAGAAGAGCTGCAGAAAATAATTTTCCTCTTAGGTTTAGGTAATGTGGGCTTTGGATTCATTGACTGAACTTGCTGACCAATATATTTTCTTTCTTCCAGCAATTTTTCTGACCAGAAAAACACTTCCAGTGTGGATGAAAACAGAACCAGAGATGTTTTGAAAACATGCAAAAGTTTGTTTCAAAAGTGAGCAGTTGGTAAGAAATTGAGGGCAGACAGCCTGGGGGAGGCCAGTGGTCCATGGCATGGCCTGTGGGGTTATCAGTGTGGAACCCGGATTGGCAGGGACTTCTAGTGAATCATTCAGACCTTCTCTTTTAACTGTGACAGGGCTCAACTCCCTATTCTCAAACCACCTCTCAGGCAGAGGGAGTTGACTATTGATAGCCTTGAGTGTCTCCAGCACTGAGGTGCACAGCATTCCCTTGTCAGGGAGTTCCAAGGCTCAGGCAATTTCAACCTCTCTATATGTAACCTGTACTGAACCTGAATATCTCCTGCAGAGGTTTGTGGCCACTAACTTTTTCTCCTGTTGCCTTTGATTAACAAGACTGGAGCCCAACTTCCAGACAAAGTCCTGCAAAATGGCACGTGTGGTTTTACCTTTCAGCTTTCCTGTCAGCTGTTCTCTTCTCCAGCCTGTTCCCAGGGAATGTGATTTTCAAGACATTTTCATGCTTCTCTTCACATGCCTGCTAGAAATATAGGCTGTCCTAGACCCACCCTGGCCTTTCATTTTAAGCCTGGCTCGGCACTTGGTGATGCTGTCCTGCCTTTGGTTCTTGAGGTGCTAAATTTAACCTTCCCAGCCTAATGTGGGATGATTTCAGGAGAAAAGCACCATGTCAAATTATACTGGTTCTGCTAGCAATACAATGGGAATCAGAGTTCCACCTCCTGTCACAGCACTGTGCTGCCAACCAGGCCCTGCCCCATTACTGTGGGGCGTCCTGGCTGCCCTCGCTCAGCCTGGCAGTGGTGGGTGCCTGATTATGCGGAGTTTATCCCCAGTGGGTTGCATGTATGAATAAGTGTGCATACCTAATATCTAGTAACTAGCTCTGATATTAGCACTGTGCTTCACAGCACCCAGGGTCCCTGGGCTGTCACCCCACTGTCAGGCTGGAGCAGCCTGGGGCCCCCACCAGTGCACTCAAAGGAAGACATACTCCTGCCCTTTGGTTTTCCTCATGAAGGAGAGACATTATTCCCTATCCCCAGGGAACATCAGCTTTGAAACACGGAGCTGATTTGTTTCCATTTACCATTATCTTGGTTTAAGTAAATTACAGCGCTTAACAGCGGTCATAAAATTATCTGGCTTCAAAAAAATTCAGCTGTAGAATTTGGTCCTGTGGCCTCCCTGATCAGCTCATTTCCAAGGGGCAAACATGCACTGGAAAAAGAAACAATCTCTCCTTGTTCATCACATGGTCACCTCCCCATTGTATCAGCAGCTGCCTGCCTAGTGCTGGTCACTGTAGAAAAGTGCAGCAAGCCTTTCACCATGCACTGCTTCACCCTTCTGAATAACTCTGCCAAGGTATTTAAATCAACCAAATCATCCACCATCCCTCACCAGTGGCCACCACATCACCAACATTTTAAAATCAAGTTCTGCCCTGGAGAGGAGGCCCCTTGGCAAAGCAGTGATGATCCTCACTGAGGGATTTTGGATCACCTCTGGCTATGCTGCAAGTGAAATATTTTCTCTTAACATCTGCCTCATCTGGAAGCTGAGTGGCAGGCTGGCTGGTTCTAGGAATCTGGAAGCTGACTGGCAGGCTGGCTGGTTTTAGGAATCACTCTTGACCTGTGTTAGGATTTCAGCAACGAGAATCTGGTTTCCAATTGTGGTATCATAAGGAAAGAGGATAGACCAGATGCTTAGCGTATCCAAATAAAAACCCCAAACCAATAAAATCTTATTTTAGCTGCTGAAACAGAAATGATGAATCTAAATATCCATAAGGAGTAGATGAGCTGGACAACCAGCAATATCAGACAGGCATTGTTCTAGCAATGGTACCTGCGCTTTATTTCTGTCGGCGAGTTTAGGTAGTGATGTGTCTCTTTCTTCATTTAAAAACTGGCAGATAGCAAGGTCCAAGATGACAATTTATATAATTAGAATTTCAAAATAATATATTATGCCCCATTTTCTGGTACATAGAGATTAACTGTGAAAAGGCCAGAGCTGGCAGAAATGTGGATTTCTTCAATTTTTGCACATCTTTCTTTGCGCTCCTGCTGGTAGGACTGGGAATGCCATGTCTCTTTCCCACAGGTGGGAATGCAAATTGATCAGGGGTCCAGCCTGCTCCTCTGCTTCACCTAAGTAAAACACAAAAAGTGGACAAGAAACATGAATGCAAAAAAAGTAAAATCCAGTCCAGCTCCAGGTAAAGGCAATGTACCAAATCCTTTTCAGTGCTCTCTGACACACACAATTGGTCCTTGACTGCTATCATTTGGTCTGCGAGTAAAACAAATCATAATGTTCAATATGAAGTAAACCAGGAAGAGAGGAAGAAAGTGCAATTCAGCAGTAAGCATCTGAGCAGTGTGGAAACAAGTGCTGGTGGGGACTAGAGCCTGCAAATCCAGCCAAGGGCCCCTAACTCACAGGCTGTGCTAGATCTCATGTGATTCCCATGTGCAGTGGGGAATGGGAGACAGGGAAAAACCTGCTCTAGGAACTGACTGTATTTTGTCCAGCACTCAACAGCTGTTTTGGGTCCCACTTTGCAAAAGATTAAATAAAAATTTTTAAAAAGAAGAAAAGAAAAAAAAAAAAAAAGGAAAAATAAAAGAGTGAGTGAAATTGAGATTGGGAAAAGAAACAAAGTGTCCCAAATAAACATGTTTTTGATGGAGGAACTGGGTTTTTGCACCCTAGCACTGTTTGTACTTTCAGATTGTCAGCAATCTGTCGCGTGCTGAGCGGAGGACAGTGTGGTGGAAATACCTATGAAGCAGTGAGAGCCTTATCAAGGTACTGTACCAGGAAATACACCGCTTTCTTTCCTACTTCATGCACGATACTATGATTAAAACCAACAGCACGCCTCATCATAACACGTGCCTTATCAGCCCCACCATCTGATGACAGCAGCAGCCCTCGGGAGAGCAGACTGACATCATCCAAAACCTCAGCAGCTCAAGACTGAAGTATGTAGCTAGGCTGCAAGCTGTGCTTGACTGTGCCGATCTGTTTGTACTAAACTTGCAGGTACTTTGCTGGAGGAAAAGGAGTATAAAAATCAAGCCCAAACAATGTTTCTGAATGTTCCTGATAGGCCGTCGTGCTATTTAGCAAATGAATACAGCAGGCAAAGGAGGTTTTTGCCCTCAGCAAGTATAACAAGTCTGCTCCACAGCTTTCTGTAGCTTTGTGGGGGGGGAAGGTCAAACCAAGACATTGTCACTGCCTTGAGGACGGTGCCACTGGTGATTTGGTACAGAGCCCCACTTCCAGCTGGGGCTGGAATTCCCCCACATTCAGTTGTGTGTGGCTGTGAGGTTTAGGTTCGTCCTGTATTGGTGGAGCTCCGAATCTCTAGATACTAATCTTCATCATGGCTGGTTCATTGCCAGTCTTCTTGTTTGGTTACTGGTGGTTCACCGAGGCAAATCATATTGGCTCTGACCTTCTGGTCTCCTTTCTATTATTTAAAATGAGAATTTCTACAGTCACAAAAATAAGAAACAGAAAATTGAGTAGGCTTTTCTTGTGTAACATTCAGCAAACTTCTCTGGTTTTAATTTGTTCTCCCTGTCCTGGGTTCTTCAAAACACCTTCTCTCATTTACGTCAGCCTAGATTTACCACACCCCAGTTATTTCAGACCTGGATAGCAGCATGGAAAAAGATTACCAGTCATCTGGAGCTGCTTCCTTATGCCTTGGACAAAAGAAGATCGTATGGGACCATATTCATTCAAGAACTGCCTTTGTGTTTGTACAGAGCCTAGCATGAGTGAGCCTACTCCTTCTTCCCGTTCGCTGTGCTACAAAATTGTTCTTAAGAACACCCTCTGCTTTTAACCTTTGGGTTTTGGTTGGTTTGTTTTTAGCTGCAATGCAAGCTTTCAGAGGGAAATCAGGCCAGATTTAAATGCTGAATGCATGCATAGCAACACAAGTAGGGCGATCCAGGCACGGATGCTGAGTGTCCATTGAGAGCCCCGGGCCATGCAGGCTGGGGGGGCTGTACTGCCTGCTGGGACCCCCTGGGCCCTGCGGCCTTTTGAGGTGTCCCCGCTCCTGTCACAGGGATTTGGGGGGCTGCTTTGCCGGAGAGACCTTGTGTCGCAGGGCACGCTCGCTCTGCCATAAACTCCCTGCGGGCTCCTTGCCCTCCCATCGCCGCTGCCCGCCCGGATCGCCCCAGCGAGGATGGGCACCCAGCCACGCCATGGGCATCAGCTCCTCACAGCGCCTGCAAAGCGCTGGAAACACCCAGCCAAAGGAAAATACACGATTGTTATGTTATTGTCTCCGTGAAGGCTTGGCTCAAGGGACGGGCTGCAAAGACGTCTGGTGGAATTAAGACTTGCCTTTTAAGATAGAGCATTAGATAAATCCAGCTGTGTTGTGGGACTGCTGGAAGCCTCCCCGAACAAGTGTGGGGAACTTGTAGTGGTTTTTGAGGCATAGTGCTATTGTCTATTTTGTTGAACGTATTTCTTTGTCTTGGTGAACTTTAAGGAGCACTGAGAACACAATGTGCCATAGGGGAAAGAGTTACAAAAAGACATGATTAGAAAATGGAACAATTTAAAAATTTCTTCTCCTACAGTGCTTTCTAAAATATTCCTATTCTGAAGCCCACTTGCTTTTTTTCTGCCTGATACACCCAGGGCTCTTACCCGGCTCTGCGACATTACTCAGTTAGTGCTTTAGTTGATTTACTCTCATCATTGCTAAAAATACTGTAAAAACCCACTTCTAAATAAATGACACAGTGAAAGGTTGTTGAAGTCGGGGTTTGGTAGGAAACACAGGTGGGAATTTTCAGGTTTACAGACAGCTCCTGGTCCCACTCCTGAGGAGGAAGCGCTTTTGAAAGGCTCCTGTGAAATATGCTGATGGTCTGAGCATCCACATCATCAACTCCCCATGACAATTGCCACTGATTGACCACTTGCTGGCTGTCTCCGCTGCAGCCCAGGAATGGATGAGTCATGGAAACAGAATTCCCCTTCACCCTGGCAGCCTCCCAGGCCCTCTGGGGGACTGCATTGACAACAGAGATGGAAAGCCAGCACTGCTTTTTTTGACACTGTGAATCATTGATCAAACAAAACTCTTCTGCTTCCATGGACTTGATATCAAGGCAACGTTTTTCATTAGTGCTACCTGAACAATTACATACTAAGAGAACAATCTCAGATAGTGCTGGGCACATTATTTTGTCTTGAAAATTGATTCTGTGCTACTTTAGGCCAGAAACAAATGTATACCATGTTTGCTAGAAGCTTTATCAGAAGATGCTGAAAACGATTGCCATGCGTAAGTGCAGCAGTATTTAAATACTGGTTTTCATTTTCGAATGATTTTCTGACATGGGGTTTGGTTGCATTTTAATAATCTCTAAATGGAACAACCCTGTTGGGAAAAAAAATACAATAAAAGAGGAGGAAATTAACAGATTAAGCCCCGGGTGCTTCCCTGAATAGAGAATTACTATTTAGGTGGGAAGCAGGTTCTGTTCGATGAGGAAATTCAATTATTTTTATTTGAGTTCTGCCTGGAACATTACTCAATATTCACACAACTCTGCTACTGCAGCTCAGATATAAATACCAATGAACCCATACAGCGAAGTATTCAGAATTTCCCTCGAGGTATTCTCAAGTGGAAAAAAAAAAAAAACCACATTAAAATGTGTAAAGGAATTTTTGTCTTGAAACCAGATGTATGCTGGGAGAAAGAAGTGCAAGTCCTGCCTTAATGCAAGCCCTTTGCCTTGAAGGGAGCTTTTCAGGTGTTGTCAGCTCTGCCCACACAGCACACAGGGCCTGAGCACAGCCATCCAGGCAGGGATGGTGTGGCATCCATGCAGGGGGGTCAGGCCAGCACCTGCCTCCTTTATTCCTTCCCTACCCCCCTCCCTGTCTTTCCCTGTCCTTCCCTGCCCATGCCATCCATGCACACCAGGAAAAGTCCTGTTCTCCCCTCCAAGGTGCTCGCCAGGATGTTTCCTGCAAATTTCCATGTCTTAGGGAGTAGCCGTGCAGCGGGTGACTGTGTGTAATCCCTTTGGTGCTGGAGTTTGTCCTGGCCTTTGTGGTGTGTCAGGATCCAGTGGTGCTGGGATCCAAAGCACCACTGAGGTGCTGTCTGTGACTCAACACCAATTGGACATTTTCAGCTCACATGCCTGTGATGCATTGACGCACTTGGATTAAACAGCAGGGCATGGAAATGAGAGATTTAATGGGAACTGTACCTTGTGTCTGGCATCAAAGCCATAAACAGAGCTTACTAGAGACACCCCAGTGCAGACAACCCCACCTCATCACTCCTGCTTCTCAAATGGGGGGATGGGAGTGTCATGGCCCCTGCCAGTTTTCCCTTGTGGGAAATGCATCCTTACTTGCACACTGGAGATAACTTTAGTGCAGGCGCTGGGAGAAGTGTCAGTGCAGTGATGCCGTGCTTATATCCATCAACTGCAATGGGAGGGTCTGGTGACCCCTCAGCCATTGCCTCACTTCCTCCTGAACTGGGGTTTTGGGAGCTGTGCCACTCCATGCACTGGGGCACAAAGAGGTCGGGAATGGGATGTTCTGGGTGTTGGTAACCACGCTGCCTCTCACCACTTGTGATTCTGTGCTGCTGCAGAGGCTACAGCTGCTGGGACAGGGAGGTGGCATGGCACAGCTGTGGGGACTCCCTGGCTTTCATCAGGGTGAGCAGTCTGATCTGCCTCAGCAGCCCTACACGTTCTCCCTTGCTTTTCCTTTCCAAAAAGGAAAGTGGAGCTTCTGCCACAGACACAGACAAGGATATTCTGGATTAGACCAACAGGCCATCTAATCTGTGAATCCTCATTCAGCCAAGCTGGGTGTTTCTCAAAGAGACCTTAAGCCTCCCTGGAGCTGTGCTATGTTATCCCATGGAGAGTTCAGGGAAAACAGTGACTTAACCTGGAGGAGTTAAAGGAAGAGCAATGCAGAAGTAATGGTGCACTGGGAACCCTTCTGGTGGAAAGGGCCACAGTTTTGCAATGCTGCCCTTTGATGGGGCGTTGCCCACATTTCCCAGCCTGGCAGATTTAGATTGCTGCACTGGTTCTTCCTGAGGTCGCACCTTAAACCCTCTCAGAGATGGCAGCCTCTGCAGAAGCCCAGTGCATTTGTTCAAGGGGTCATCTCCTTGGGGGCACAGGATGCCCATGTCCCTTCAGGAAATAGTCCTTTGGCTCATCAGTTTCTGGGTGCAGTTTTGGGTGTTGGTTGGTTCCCATAAAAAACTGAATGGCCCACAATTGGCTGTAATGAGCATCTGACTCTCCCTGCTGCACTGTCACAGCAACTGGCAGCAGGAGTGTGTGCTGGAGCACCCTTGCTGGAAAAGGGAATGTCTATGTAGGGGCACCGGGACACAATGGGATGCTGGAAACCCCTGCCAGGACTGACCTGAATTTGCTGGTTTTCCAGTGCTACTTCTAAAGCCAAATTTTGGAGACATTCAAGTTTTGTGGGGGGAAAAACTCTGATCTCCACGATGAAGGAAACACTGAAAAGGATTTCTGGCAGTGCCGCTTTACTGGTGTTCACCTGACTGGTGAGCCCGATATTTTCTTATTGCTGAAATTGAATGGATTTGTTAATTGCTTTTTGGGTTATCCAGAGCCTTGGACAGGTTTTCCTTTACTAAAAAAAAATAAATAAAAAAAATCCATACAATAACAATTCCTCTACAGGACTGACTAGCTAAGCTGAGATGAGAGAAGCTCCTGTGAAGGATGCTGTGAACTGGTGGTTACCATAAGGGAGACACGGCTAGAGTCAGGCTTTGCTCTGCACAGCACTGGGGACCAGTCCAAAAAAAGGATCAAATAATACCCAACTCCACAAAGCACTTTGGAATCATGTTGTGGTTTTGATTTGGTTTGTAACTACTGAAGTAAGCCAAACTTACATAAACTTTAGAAAGATCTGCAAGTGTTAAAAGAAAACATTTTAATACAAAAGAGTACTCAAGTTCGAATTGGATCAAACTCTTGTTTGATTCTAGGAATCATTGTAATTAAGGAAGAAAAAAAAAAACCAAAGAAGAACCCATTGTGACAGTGCGTTGCAAAATCCCAGAAGTAACAGAAAATACCGGGTAATATGTTGTGGAAAAAAGCTCATTTTTATTTTCAGATAACTAGAAGAAGATCTGAACACAGCTAGTAGCTCGCGGGTAGATCTGTAACCATCAGCAAATAGTAACCACATTAACTGCACTTAGAGTGACTGCAGAGCTCCAGAGCTGAGGTACCCCTCACACCCTGTCTTGTCTTTATTTCAAGTGCAAGTGATACTTGGCGGGGGTTTGGCCTTGGCAGCTCCACAAGAGAGCAAAGCAAATCTTCTTGGGTGCACTGCTTTGCATTTAGCACTTTGGAAGGCCCCGAAACTGATTGCAGCTGCCTGGTCTGCATGTGTGTAAGCTGCATACAAGCTGTGTTTTTGATGAGAGTACATGTCTTGTTAAGATAGGCTTAAACTGAAAGTATGTGGAGAAAATGAGCTCGAGAGGGCTCTCAGTCATGTTTCTGCAACTTGGCTTTTTGAATCAGCATGGTGATGCTTAACATAAACATTTGAATAAGCTTGTGATGCTTAACATAAACAACTTGCAAAATGAAATATCCTTGATGTAAGGATTGAACTGGATACCTAAGATAGGAAGAAATTCCCAAGAGCCTCTGATGTTGCACCATTTTTCAGAAGTAGCAGGGCCATGCCTGCTTGTCATAGACTGGTTGGCACAAACAAGATCAAGTTGTCGGTGTGGGTGGCCCATGTGGAGCATGTGGCACCTGCCATGACCACGAGGCTGCACAGCCCTCACCCAGACCCACAGTATCTCCTGTAAATCCGATCTTTGCTCCACCTGTCTCCACACCAGGAGAGATCTCCTTTCCCTGCAGTGCCCTTCTCTGCTTGCAGCTGGGACCCCAAAGAGGCAGTGCTGGTGGTGGGAATTAAACTGGACCTTCCCGGCCCCTGTGTGCTCCTGTCCTGCCTCACGCTCCTTCAGAAACTGTTAATCATCCTGAACTGCTTACTGCTTTGTGATCTTAAACAGGGCTTGAACTCAGCTTTCTAGAGGTGAAAGCACAATGTCTTACTGTAACTCATTTTGCCAGCCAATCCTATCCTGAACCCAGCAATATTTTAATCTCAAAATCCAACCTCAAAACCCACAGCATTTTCAGTTACTGTATTTCATCACCACACAGCTGAAAACAACTCTTTTTTTTTTTTTCAACCACCCTTGTTTTTCTAAAGTGAATCACAAACCCTGGAGCTTAACAGACAGAAAAGACCCAGAGACAAATCCAATCTCACTATCCTGGTGTTTATAAGGAATAATGTAATTAGAGTAAGAAAGCATTTATCTGCAGTCACATGGCTATAACAGAGTTAGAAGATTCAGCCACTCCATGGCTAAGCCAGATAGTTCATTTTAATGAAGCCAAAAAGCATTGTTGCCTACAAAATATTTGTGGTGGTATACCTATTAGTCAGTCATTTTTTAATTTGCCCATGGAACTCCTTACCTTTTCCCTGGAAGGCAACTCGACACTCTTCTAGATTTGGCCCTGCTAAGTGGTCTGCTGCTCATTTTACTGCCGTTCTTGGCTGTGCCTTCTTGAATCACACCAAGGAATAATTAACAATAACACAACTCTGGTTCTCAGTGGATTTCCCCATCAGAAAAATGTTAACCATCAGAGTGCTCAGTGCAGCACCCTTGAATACTGTGTAGCCCTTCCAGGGAACTCTTGTCTGCTTTAGTCACTCCACTTAATTGGTGAGAAAACTGGGACATCTGAATTTGTGCTCTTATAGAAAGGCTACAGGATAGCCAAGGGAGAAAGCTGGATCTTCAGGCTGTCATTCCGAAGCAATAGCCACCTTTCTTCCCATGGTGTTTATACTTTGGGAGAATAAATGGGCATTTCACAACCTGAGGAGGTGTTTACAGTTCCCAGCCTCTGCTTACAGATGTGCTGGGATGATGGCCCCTGGTATGTGTTTGGTACTTGTGCTGGTGAAGGGGCTGGAAGGAAACCCTCAGTCCTGGAGGCCTGGTCTCATGGACCAGGTTTCACTCACACCAGAGGAAACCTGACCTATTCCAGATTTAAAAACATTTGTCCAGCAACAGAAGTGTGGCCCTCAAGACCAACTGATGCTCAGGTATACCATGAGCATAAGTGCAGGTGTGTCAGAACTGTATAAAAATTTGGTCAGAGTTGGAAAAAATTCCAGCAGTGTCCAAGGTGAGGCCAGTACAGGTTGGTCCTTGCATCAGGCATTGCCCAAAGCTGGTATCAGTAGTATCTTGTGCCTGGGGCTACCGTGGTGAGGTCAGCCCTGAACTTTCCCACTGCCCCTCTCCAGGGGTCTCTCCAGGGCGGGA